AAACGTGCTAAATTAAATTTAAGTTTATAAAAAAAATGTTATAATAAAAAACGTACTCTCGAATAAGAGAAAAACTATTACATCAGGAGTCTTGAACCAAAACTGCATCATAACTCCAATCACAATGTGTCACGTGTACGGTCCGACCCTACTAAATAAAAAAAACTAAATGGTTTAATACACTGCGGGGCCGGACCGTACACTTTTTTGCGCGTTGTGAGTAGAGCTCTGATACAGTTTTACATCAGGACTACTTATGTACTATTTTTCCCTAAGAAGAACCTTTACATTTGTATATATTTCAACGCCAAGTAAAAACCTAAATATTGATCATTGAATAATAATATCTTCAAAATATAATTTTTACATCATCATAGTAATATTATTATTACATAAAATAAATATTACTTCTTAGCAAAACAATCAAAATCATAAATTTTACAAATATCTCCTCTAAAAAAAAGGGAAGAGGTGGGCAACATTTACTTACATACATACCATATTATTCTTATGTATTTACATATCAAATATCTAAATTTTTATATTCACATACTGACAGATCAAACTCGTGATATCGCATAAAAAATACGACCGCTATTAACAAAAGTAAAAAACACATTTTCATGCATGATTTATGGTAACAAAGTATGGTGAATATTAGTGACATTTACAAATATTTCACAATTTTATGTATTTACATAGCTACCCCTAATCATTCATATTTACATTTATATAACTCAGATAGTTAAAATCACATCAAAAATATCATCAAGAGTTTTGGTATTTTCATGCATATGTTTGTATCAAAATTTGGGTCTAATATCTAAATATCTAGAATTATGTGGCATGTACACAAATTTCTCTAAATCTAAATATCAAATTTGGCTATAATCATTATTAAATAATTAATTAAATCATGACACTATTTAAAAGCCCCGAAAGAGCCCAACTGTTTGTTCCGATAATCAGAGTTTGTACAGATCGCTTCCTCCGATTTCTCCTTCGGCCGATCGTAGCCATGCTTTCCGGCGATATTCCTCCGAGTCAGACCATCTATATAAGAAATCTCAACGAGAAGGTGAAGAAAGAAGGTATCATCCCATTCCTTCTACATAAGAAGCAATTAGGGTTTAGGGTTTTCTTTTGTTTTCGTCCAATATGAGTAGTTTTTGCTAGTGCGAACTACTCTCGAGCTCTCTGAGTCCCTAATTTGGGTTTGGTATCGTATTTATCTCTTTTTAATCATGAGTAGTTTGCTTGGCAGTTACTAGGGCTTGTATTAGCTCTATCTTTTTCATGGACTTCTAGAACAACTGCATCTCTTGTCTTCTTCTTCTTCGAAGGAGTTTTTAAATTTATTTTCAGATGTTCATGAATTGAATTGACGGTTAGATCTGGGGTTTGAAATATTGTTACAAATGTAATTTGAAATATTGTTACAAATGTATTACGAAGTTTGTATGGAGAAATTTGATCGGCCTCCCTGAGTTAAAGAGTAATGATAATTTTCTCTAGATTGATCACTTATTTTCTTAAAACTATTTTTGCAGAGTTGAAGAGATCAATTTATGATCTATTTTCCCAGTTTGGAAGGATTTTGGATGTTGTGGCCTTGAAAACCGAGAGACTCCGAGGTCAAGCATGGGTGGTGTTTAGCGAAGTTACTGCTGCTAGTAATGCAGTTCGGCAAATGCAGAGCTTTCCGTTCTATGATAAACCTATGGTGTGCTCCTCTGAATCCATTTTTTTAAATAACAGTATTATTCTGAAAGATTTACGTACCTACCAATTTATTCTTATTTTTTTAAAGGTGTATTTTACCCTTAAACTTCAACACTTTGCATTGCTTTGTGGAAATATATTTGGCATTATGGGAAGACATTGTAGGTGTTCCATGGTTTTAGCGTTCGTGAGCTTTACTGCAAAGTACTCCATTTTACAACTGAAGTACTGAAATCTTTAGTTATGCTACAAAAGTGATATACATTGTATGAATAAAGTTTTATTTGGGGTTTTATTCTGGTTTACATTCAACGAGTTGTAAATTATTGATTTGATAGGTATAATTTTGTTTAGAGTTTATAAATTGTAACAGTTTATAATGATTTTTTATAATAAAGGAATTAATTTTTTTTTTTTAATGTTTAGACCTTCGCCGTTTTTATTTGTGTTTATTACTGTTTTTATAATTCATTTTAACGTTTGCACAATCAGCATCGAATGCTCTCACTGTAAATGAAGAAATGAAGCATTTTTCTTTGTCAAATAATGCCATTATTATGCTATTAAAAATTTGCTAGTCATGTTTTTTTGAGTGCTAATGTTTGCATGCACGCTTGAGATTTTGGTCTTAATTGACACAGTTTACTTTCTTTAGAGGATACAATATGCAAAAACAAAGTCTGATTGTGTTGCAAAAGCAGATGGGACTTATGTTCCTAGAGAGAAGAAGAAGAAACAAGAAGAGAAAGGTGATTTTCAGAATTTTATTATGATGAATTATTACAGGATTGCTAAGATTATGCGAAGTTTTGTAAATAAAATCATTACCTTCTGTTTTAAAACTTTTTTTTATTGAAAATGAGCATGGGAACTTTTACATTGCCTCACTTTAACTCAAGCAGTTTCTTGTTCCTTCTCTACTCTAAGGAACAATATTTTTGATTCATAACATTTAAGAAGATTTATTCTATAGATTTTTTATTTTTTGTATCTTTTTTTTCTTTCATATGGTTTTATTAGGCAAATAAAGATGCTTTTTAAAAGAATGAAAATTAGAAATAATGCTAGAACTTGCATATTTGTGATGTAGTTATAAGCAAGCAAAGAAACATGCATTGTTGATTTGTAGGCTAGAACGTGCCTTAAGAGTGAAAGGGGAATATGGCATGAACTCTTAAGCCTAGAATGTGCCTTGTCCATGAAATGGAGCGACCTCATGTTCTTTTACTCTATTTAATAATTTTCCCAGTTATCAGTTTTGGGCAGCTTTAGTCCTAGGCTCATTGGAAAGGAAGGACCGGTGAAAATCCGTTTATGGATGGAGAATATCAGTTCATTCATAAGGAATCTCTATATCCACTACAATGAGGACATAAGAACGGTGGCATTCCAAAATGCTATTTATAATTTGTGAAATCCTTTTTTGAATGATTCTATGTCTGTGTGAATATCTTTACTTTTGATATCATTTTCTCTATATGATACATACCACCCATTCATCTTACCTAGATTCCTTACATTTTTGCTTTTAGAAGAGCCTAATAAATAGAATCTTTTGTTATTTTATAGATTGATTGAAACAAATGAGAAATTCAAGAATTTGGTGATTTTAGTGGAATCAAGTTTGTAAGTAATAGAATGAAGCTATGCTAAAGGGCAATGGAACTTAGGATTAATTTAGTTTTATGCTAAGAAGATCAATGTGATTAATGGAAGTGTATTGAAAACAAAGAAATGATCTTTATATAATTCCTTTATTGATGTTGATGAGGCATATGCTTGAGTGCCAAGAGAACTGATTAGTATGTGCTGATAAGAAAATATATATTTTAAATTTAATTTGTACTTGTTAAAGATGTGTATTATGGAGCATTGACTAGTATTAACAGTTTGTCTTGTGTGACCAACTACTTTTGGATCATAGTAGGATTGCATTAATGATCAAACATTTTCTTTCTGTATTGCTTATGGATGTTTTTAAATCTTTTTCAGTATGAGGAACCTAAATCTTTGCTGTTTGTTAATGAAATAATTCTAATGAGTGAGAATTCAATTTGAAATGATTGAAAGCTGTAGTATTAAATAGAATTACAGGTTGTTCAAATTAAGTAAGTACCCAACCACATTAATGATACACATCTTGTAATGGATCGAAGCTTACAAAAAATATTCAAGATTAAGTTACGTCAATGTATCCTATCTACAAATGAAATAATCCTACAAGTGAGATATCTATTAAAACAAGTGTAATTTATGATCAGTGAAGGAGTGTTTTTTGAAGGTAAGAAGCTTTGTATGGATGGAAAAAATATCACATATGTGATAGAAGTATTAAATGGCATGAAATTGACAATTATTAATCAATATTGCTAGAAGATCAAGTGATGCCTAGGTATGCTAGCGTACAAAGGATGATTTCTTAATGATTTAATTTTTATAGCTGAAGTTTGATGGTTAAAATGCAGAAATGCTTTATGATTGCTATATATGATTAGAGAAGAGCATACATGCAAAGTGAAAATTTTAAAACTACAATTAAGCTAGTTTTACTATGTAAGCCCAAGTGTTAGGCGATAAAGAAGACTTTGATAACTAAGTTGTGTTTATGAGAAATAAAAATATTGAGATTGATGTGCGTTAAAAGAAGGGTAGACTAAGAATGATTTTGTTTGAGTTTGTGAGAGTAACATCTATTGTGGAGAAAAGCTTAGAAATTAGACTAATGGTGGATTGGACATGTAGAAAGGAGGCGAGTGGATGCTCCAATAAGAATTTGTGGATGAAATATGGAGAAAATCTTAGAAATTAGAATAATGGTGGATTGGACTGAGTTTGAGTTTTCTAGTATGTCAAATTGTGATATCAAATCAAGTGGCCCTATGGTTGAAGTTTTTTAAATTTTATAGGGGCATATTAAAGTTGATTAGAGCGACACCGGTTAGGATCCTACGGTTCTCTCGTTCTGACACCACTATTTTCTATTGGATTCACTTAGTCCAAATGAACTTACTAAACTCAACTTAATGAGTTTCATAATTTTATTTAGACTGTGGGAAGCCTCGTTAGCAACGAGTGGATGCTCCAATAAGAATTTGTGGATGAAATTGATGTTGAGGGTTAGGAAAACAAAAGTGGTAGAACAAATATTTATGATTAGAAATCATATTATAAGATTGTGTGCATGTAGTTATTTAGTCATGTAAAACTCAACAAAGGGTATGGAGTTAAAAATGTTGACCCAAATTGTAAGGATAACTAAAAGTAATTTTGTATGCCGAATATGATTCTGGAGCTAAAATTATAATTTGACTTATTTTTAATCTAGATTTTGAGAAGCATCTATTATTGTCGAAAAGTGTTTGAACAAATATTTATGATTAGAAATTATATTATAAGATTGTGTGCATGTAGTTATTTAATCATGAAAAACTCGACAAAGGGTATGGAGATAAAAATGTTGACCCAAATTGTATGGATAACTAAAAGTAATTTTGTATGCCGAATATGATTATGGAGCTAAAATTATAATTTGACTTATTTTTAATCTAGATTTTGAGAAGCATCTATTATTGTCAAATTTATGATAGGCTTTTGGATAAAAAAAGGAGAATTACAATACTCAAGTTACTTGTATTAGATATATTAATTATTTCATTGAACCGACCTAATCTCAATTAAATTATGTTTCTTTATAGTAAAAGATATGACGAGTTCAACGAGGTTAGGCTTTTTTTGTAATAGGAAATGTGGAAACAATTCAATAATATTGGAATACGCAACCAATGGTCTTGTTAATCGATAAAAATATTTATATAAGGCCTGTTTTGGGAAGTTGTTGTTTATTAAAAACAGCTGTAAAACTGCTGAAGAATAATCTGATGTTAAAAAAAGTACGATGGCTATTACAATTTTTTGTTTTTTTTGTGTGGAAACGTCACGCCGCAACTAGAAAGTTGCCACCACACCTAAGTCAGGACCAGTGGAAAAACACGTATTTTAGCGGCAGATTTTTGAAAAAGCCGCCAAAACGCAGTTTACCCAAACAGACAAAACTGTACCGCACCGCCTCCACACTGCCGCCCCAAGCAGACTCTAAAGCATGTTTTATGGTGTTTTATATGAATTATCTTTGGCTTTAATTTTTTATACTCGTACTTTTTTTCATAAGTTGTTTCTTTTTAGAGCCACCTGAGTAGAATACTTGATCCATGATTTAGTTCTTGATATTTCAGCGGCAGATTTTTGAAAAAGACGTCAAAACGCAGTTTACCCAAACAGACAAAATTGTACCGCATCGCCACCGCACTGCCACCCCAAACAGACTCTAAAGCATGTTTTATGGTGTTTTATATG